CCACGAATTTTCGATCACGAAGTCGATTTCTACGATCGTTCTTTTTTTTTTTTTAACGTTCGTATTATAATATATATATATATCCTTCTTACCTCACGCATAGCATAGCAATAATAATAATAGTAATAATAATGATAATAATAGTAATAACAACGTTAATAATAACATCAATAAATTGGCGGGAAAGCAAAATTCGAAGAGCTCGTTTTCGCGATCCCGTGAAGAATCGAAGCGATCGGCTGCGAGAAATAAATAAAAAAAAAGAAATCATCTCTCCCCCCGCCCCATTCCATCCCACCCCCTCCCCCGCTTGGAAGAAACACTCAACCGTTGGACGCGTTTCAAAAGTGGAGCGGGAGGGGATTTCTCCTCGACGATACTTGGACGAGAGGAGAGTATCTCCGGATAGATGGGAGGGAACAAGCGCCCATTGGGAAATTGGCCCCATTGATGCGATTGACGCGCGAAATCCTTCCCTATATTTACGTTCTCGAGTAGAAATCGAGTTGGTAGTACCGTAGGACTACTTTTTTCTTTTTTATTCTCGGTCATATAGACACAGATGACACACTTACACACACACATACACACGCAATAAATCGATCCACAGAGCATCTTTCCATCCGTATTTCGATTAATGTATCCGGGATATCGCGAGATCGGAAAAAAAAAAATTCTTTCGACTCTTTTTTTCGCGCGCGAGCACGAGAGGTGTGAGCAAGTTAAGAAAGATGAATGTGAGTAACGTTTTTTTTTTTTCTTTTTTTTGCTTGCACTTCTTTCTTTCTCTCTCTCTTGAAATTTTCTCCTAGTCTCGATCATCTTTTCGATCGCCATTTTGTCGTTTGCTTCCCTTCGAAAAAGTCTCTCCCCTCGTGTACAACGCGCTTTGAAAGTAGACGGTGAAAAATTTTGAATTTTATCAAATTCTATTTCCTCCTCTTTCTCTCTCCGTGTCTCTCTAAGGATGGAAAAAATCATTTGAATAATTTTGAAAACTTGACAGCTATTCGAGACGATTGTCGAAAAGGAAGAATCTTTGGATCTATATATTGGATCTTTACGAATTTTTCCATTTTTGAGATGCGAGAACAAGTGTTGTATCTATTTTCGAAGCATCGTTGTATATCTTCGAAAAAAAAAATCAGTATCGTGAGATAATACACACACATATACACATATGCACACACACAAAAAAAGACAGGTAAAAAAAAAACGTAATCCAATGTGAACGCAATAAATGAATAAATAGAAAAATTTCATGGAAAAGTTGGAATCGAATCATTTAAAAACGGTTCAGATATAGAATATATATATATCGAGTAATCGCTGAAAGATAAATTTTTGTTTTTATCGCGTTCGCATCGCGTTGATCTCGCACATGTGATCTCGTTGGCGTGAATTGCACAAGACACGGTGGTATGGTTTGTTACTTCGCTGCATCTCTCGAAACTTTACGCCTATGTCTATACACACACACACACATACACACGCACACACATATTCTTTGTCTCTTTCTCCAAAAAAAAAAAATATATATATATATATATATATATATATACGAAAGAAATTTTACGTCTTATATTCCCCTTCCCAATCTCGCAATACGATCGACGAGATTCGTGGGTTGGTTAACACACGTTCGATGGTACGAAAAATTTTCTCGGAAAATCGAAACGAACGAACAACAAAATTGGATCGAAGAATTTTTGAAAGAAAAAAATTTTCAATGAGGAAAGGAAATTGAATCGAACGATTTTTCGCGAATATTTCGTACTCTCGTCGAAGTACGATCGAGGCTGCAGTATTTGCATGTCTCTATACAATTTCACACGCTCTCTTTTTCGACGCCCTCTCTTGCTCTTTTTACATGATATATAATCTCTTCCCTATTTTCTAATCTCTTTATTCTCACATTTTTCATTTCATGACAACGGCGTTCCATATTTTTCTTTCTCGGTTGAACCTCCGTTCACCCTCGTCGTCACCTTTAATGAAATAATATCTGTTCCATGGGTTTTTTTTTTCTTGGCGCGTACGCGCGTTTACGATGTTTCGTTATATTGTAGAAAAAATTGAAGAGGTGGTTCGAGATGAAGAGAATTGAGTTTTCTTAAAAACTCAATTAAATCTTATAATTAAAATTAGGAAAACTTTGAACCGCTATAATTCCAAAAATAGTAAT